CCCTTTCGAAAGGATACTACCACTTAAACAAGAAATCTAATTAAATACTTGCGACATTTAAAAGAGGTTAACTATGGCCATATTGATTTTAATCTAGTGGAGGAATTAGCTGCATAATGACCTCCGAAAAGTAATTTAAGCAAATAACTGACGAGCTTTTCATGTATATATATTATCCTCACACTCAAGGATGAAATAACAAGAATATTACAAGCTTCCGAGTATCGAAATCAGCCTGCTCATGCTTCACACAAACATTCATAAAGTAATAGTAGATTTAGGATATTACAAGACTTGGGTTTACACACCCCAAAAAGAACAAAACATATATCCATATTTATATTACCACTCATGGTGACATGATCAAATAAGCCCTCAAAATCCCATGTAAATAAATAACACATATAATATGTACAAGTCCCAAGGTTTATACAAAATATAGATGCCTATATGCAAATGTGATCTTCCTTAAGGCTCTCAAAACATCCATCTCCAATGGCTAGCTTCAAGCATCATCTCGAACAGCCCCTGTGATAGAAACAACTATCGCTAATCATATAGCTTAGTGGTGTAAAAACTATAGGTTTGGAGCCCTCCAATTCAGCAAGTTATCATTCTCAAGTCAAGGGCAGCATAACTGAACAAATAAATAAATCAAGTAAACAATATATAAGAGTATCAAGTTCTATATTTAAAGATTCAAATGTCAACAACACTCATAGCACAGTTTTCCAAGAGATTCAACAACAAGGCTCGCCCAATATATGCATCATGTCGTCACACCAAGCACAAGCAGGTATCAAGAAGGGTGAAAACCCAATAATCAAAAGAACCAAGAACCATATTAAAAACGGCTTTCTAGTTCGTACTTAAAAATGGACAACTTCCATTCTTAAGACGGACTAAAAATCCAAAGTCAAGATGGCAAATGATCTGAATCAAGAGGCATGCCAATAGTGACAAAGTCACAGCCACAAGAAGGACAAAGTCCCAACAAGAATGCCAAGTGATCAAACAATCTGTACAAGTGGGCGAGTTACACAAGCGTCTTTAATGTATTAAAGAATACCAATACGACAATGCAAAGTGACAAGAGGTAACCAAGGTACCAAAGTAAACTTTCAGATATACCAGCAGGTAAAATGAGTACAAGTATAAGTTTATACACAAACCTCAAGCACAAAAACAGTCCAACACAACTTCACGAGTTCAAAACGTAGACCAACCAGCGTATCAAAGTCTTCAAATCGTACACGAGGATATACAACCTTAAAAAATGAATTCAATAACATATTTACTTTCTAGTAGATCAATAATGATGGCGTAACACAGGGTTATCATCACAAGTAAGCTTAGCATGTACAAATACGACTATGCTCCCAAAACAGTGAATCTGGCCGGCCTACTACCACCTGTCGCAACTTAGATTTGAAAGGAAAACGACAAAACTAGACTTTATAACCTTCATGAAAGATGTAGATACATCTCTTAGGGTTGCAAACAAACAAGAATCACCGCAAAATATATTTTGTACAACAAGATATATTCAAAATACTAACAGTTGTTCATACAGGATTTGTAATTTCAAAATCTGGACAGAACTTGTCCTATGTTGCGTCCCATTTTTCGAATCCATAACAGCTAAATCAGAGTTTTACATAAGCATAAGAGTTGTAGGTATACGAATTAGCTTTCCAAATCATATCTATGCACTGTAAACTAAGTTCTAGAGCAAGACATATGCATAAAATACCAAACACTACCCAGCTTAGAAACAAATTTCGTCACTTACCAAAAAGAAGTGTGTGTCTCGAATTCCAGCCAAAAGGGCCAAGTTTTTCTCTTGTGATTTTGAAGAACAATCTGTTTAGATGTGTTTCTAAGGTTCTAAGACTTAAGGAAAACTAATTTACTAAAGGAGGTGTGAAAATATATAGTCAAACAAGCGATGTTTATCACTTGGGCAGCTGTCCTTCAAAGGTGCTGCCCAAAAATTTGTGTGCTGCCCAAAATGTATACATACACACCTATATGTATATAATTGATACCAACACTTTCAATTCATATGATATCTTAATTAGAAAAATTACGTAAATACCCCCATACAATACCTAAAATTACGAGCACAATTTATTTTAAGCAAGGTTGCAAATATCACAAAATTTCAAGTTCCCAAAATAAGAGTAAAACATATTGTAGTAATTAAGAAATGATGCATCGACATGCAAGAGTTGGTCTAGTATTTTAGGGGTGTTATAGAAACCCCTCAACAACTCCAACACACACTAGTTAGGCTCTAGTTTCACTTATTCGTTTTACGGGTCATTACATGGACATGAAACCTTTTATTAAAATAAAATCAATTATAGGTACAGCAAACCAGGCCCAAAAGTAACCTGGCCCAAAAATTAAAGCAAAATAAAGAATATAGGCAAAGAGACAGATCATCAGCATAATTAGGAAAGTAGGTAGAAAGCTCCACCCATTCACCTTGCTCAAACGAAATAACCATAGATTTGCTCAATTGTTAACTTGGTTTTGCGAAATCCTCCTCTGCTTCAATGCTCATCCTCAACTATCAGCTCAAAGCTCCATCTCTAAGCTAAGTGTAGAATCTTCCGTGTTTAATTGTTCTTCCTCTTCTAACTTGGTTTTGCAAAATCCTCCTCTGATTCGATGCTCATCCTTAACTATCAGCTCAAAGCTCCATCTCTAAGCTAAGTGTCGAATCCTCCATGTTTAATTGTTCTTCCTATTTTCTTTAGATCGACGGAATGATCTTCTAAGAAGCTAATACCACCATCAAATCGAAAGAATCGATTTAGAAACAATAAAAACTGACCTTATGATGCCAATAGGCTTTCATGTCTTAATAGTTATAGCTACATATCAGAAGTGGTGGATCTATTGTTTGGATACTCATATCATTAACACCCCAAGGTCTCACCGGGTGTAGGTGTTTGCATCCAAAGAAATCACTTCGAACAATAGGTATCACCTTTTCCTTTATTGTAACTCCTTATTTGAATGTTACAACGGAACCCAGTGCACAAATTAACTTCTTTGCATCATGTTTTCAATGTTGTCTGTGAAGCAAACGTTGTAAACATGGTTAATGTTCTACGTCTCGATACAAACCATCTGCAACATTTTCCAGTGAGTAATGATGTAATCAAAATTAACCTTCATTCAATCTCAAAACACTCTTTAAATTAATAAATATTAATTTATCGATTAAATAATACATCTAAAAAATAATAATATTTCATGGTCTCATCTATATTAATTTAGTGAGGTTTTACTGTATTTCGATGGTGACATAGGTCCAACGGAACTAATGGAGGAGTCAATGGATGAGAAACAAAGTACTTACATTCTTGAAGTTATCAAGCCAGAAATAAGCAACTACATTCTCCATCTGAAGGCTAAGAATTACAATAGACTATACTGGTCACTTGGCCTAATTTTATTTGTACCTCCACTGCTAAAGTATAGCCTCAAGCTTGATGCAAAGTTGTGTATTCAATTCATAAGTTTAAGGTGGAGGAAAAAGTTGATTATGTCGTGTCACAAATTTCAGTGATGTGCTTATTAGGAGGCAACCCACGATATTTATTATTACTTTTGTTTTATTAGTATTTTTGTAGTTTGTTTTTGCTTTTGTAGAAAGATGATCATGAAAATGTGTAAAAGTAAGCTAGATGGGAACTAAGTGTGGGTACCGCCAAGAAGAACCACTTAGGGGAGAATTATGAGTATCATATGGCATGACATGTCAATGTTTCTACCCTTGGTCATCCAGAGAGATTCTTTTACCCTCTTATTACTGATGGTGTATTGAGGACAGTGTAAAATTTTAAGTGTAGGGTGGGAAACTTGCTTGGATGTCTATCGGGTAGTGAATATCCCCCTCGATTTATTTTTGATCTTTTTTGGGGGAGTCTTATGAATTATAAGTTTTTTGTAGTCATAGAATAATAAGACTTTTCGGTGATGGATGAATAACGATCGTTTTGAGAGAAAATTAGTCTTTAGGTAGGTAAAAGAGAATTTTGGATGTCTTCAGAATGCTTGGTGCTCAATCCAGATACACTAGGACTAAGTTGATACCTCTCGTAACTTTGTGCATAAAAAATAGGATAATTTCATTGAGACATTTAGGCTCTAAAATCTCTAGACTAGTAAAATGGACTTAAAATGATTGTTCACTGAATACAATTGTATTATTAGGTAGAGTGTCAACAAGGATCTAGTCTAATCATGTATGTCACGAACTAGTTATATTTCATGTATATGTAGATATTTAGAACTTGTCCGGTGTGTTCGCAAAGTAAAATGAATTGTTGATTCATAGGACATGATCTAGGCATTTGTTTATGAAGCCATGTTTTGACTTTGTATTTACCTACCTTGACCATATCCATAGTTAGACCCTTGAGCTTTTTAGCTTATTTATTTTATAGTCGCTTGATTATCCATTATGTGTTGTTGATTATCCTAGCAAGAATTTAATCTCAAAGTTTCTAATGCACTTTAGACTTGAATACCTACAAAGAAAAGAAAAAGAGAAAGGTGAAAAACGGTTGAGAATATGTCTCAGGATATTGCAGAAATAAAACAGTTAGCTATTAGGATTTTTAAATTATGATATTAGAGTAATATTTGACTTATATTTAGGAGTTAGTTCATTTTATTTGTTATTTGAATTAAACAGATAAGTTAGTGACATTTTTTTTCTATTTTTAGTTAGAAATTATATCTATAAATGCAAGTTTCTAGATTATTAATAAAATAATTCCCTTTGATAATACTGCACTATTTTTTTCTCAAAGTCTTTCTCTGTTATTTTCTTAATTTCTTTATTAAAAAAAACCAACAATTGGTATTAGAGTCTTCTTCTTGAGAGACCTATAAGTAGAAAAATATATTCCGAAAATAGATTTTCACGAATGGCTCCTCCTATTATTGATGGTGAGAGTTATCAACTATAGGTTGTGAGAATGGAAACTTACTTGGAGGCTCTTGATCTTTGGGAAGCCATGCAAGAGGATTATAAAATTAATCTGCTGCCAAATAATCCCATCGTGGCCCAAATCAAGAGTCACAAGGAAAATAAAACAATTAAGTCGAAGGCAAAAGCAACTTTGTTTGCTGATGTTTCGACAACTGTTTTCATGAAAATCATGACTCTCACATCACCAAAAGAAATTTGGAATTATCTGAAGAAAGAATATGTTGGAGATAAAAGAATACGAGGAATGAAGGTATTAAATTTAATGAGGGAATTCGAATTGCAGATAATGAAAGAGTCTGAAACAGTCAAGGAATACTCTGACAGATTTCCAGGCACTAAATTTAAAGATACAAGAATTGTTGAAAAAGTTCTTGTTGTAGTGCCCGAAAGATATGAAGCATGTATAACTACCTTGGAAAACACACAAGATCTGTCCAAAATTACCTTGGCAGAATTGTTAAATTCTTTGCAGGCTCAAGAACAAAGGAGACTTATGAGGCAAGATGACATGGTTGAAGGAGCATTAGTAGTCAACCACAAAACTCAAAGCAAGGGTAAATTTTTGAAAAATTACCCACCTTGTCAGCACTGTGGAAAAAATGGGCATCCTCCAGATAAATGTTGGAAAAGACCAGATGCACAGTGCAAGATCTGCAAATAACTTGGTCATGAAATTGTGATTTGCAAAAGCAAATTTCAAAAAGATGAAACAGTTGCCCAAGTCACTAAAGAAGAAGAAGAAGAAGAAGAAAGATCATTCCTATGGAAAATAAGAAAGTCAGAATTGGGAATGGTGATTGTATTCCTGCAAAAGGAAAACGGTCTGTTTCAACTAAAATAAATTTAGGTACAAAAATAATTTCAGATGTTCTTTATGTGCCTGATATTGATAAAAGTTTGTTTAGTGTTGGTCAGTTAATAGAAAAAGGATTAAATTATTATTTGGAGACAAATATTGTTGAATCTTTGATTCTACTAAGCAAGAGATTTTACAAGTTGAAATGAGAGGTAAGATCTTCTCATTTAATCAAACAAAAGATACACACAAGTCTTGCAAGCAAAGGATGAATTGGAAGATTTGTTCACAAGGTCAATTTTAGATGAGACTACAATCTACAATTTCTGATCCAAGGAGGAGTGTTGAGAATATGTCTCAGGATATTGCATAAATAAAATAGTTAGCTATATTTAGGGTTTTTAAATTATGTTATTAGAGTCCTATTTGACTTATATTTAGGTGTTAGTTTCTTTTTATTTGTTATTTGAATTAAATTGATAAGTTAATAACGTATTTTTCTATTTTTAGTTAGGAATTATATCTATAAATACAAGTCTCTAGATTATTAATAAAATAATTTCCTTTGATAATACTGCACTATTTTTTTCTCTCAAAGTCTTTCTCTGTTATTTTCTTAATTTCTTTATTAAAAAATCCAACAAAAACAATGGGAATTGAAGTGGAAGTAGAAGAAAGAAAATCAATTGGTGTCCATGAATTAAATTAAATTATGTTGTTAGTAAGAAGTGAAAACAAAAGAAAGAATAAAAAGTTTGAAAATTCAAAAAATAAAAAGGAATAGAAAATTGCTCCTTACTAGCGATGTACAAAGAAAAGAGCAAGTGTAAAAAGATAAAGGGAGATAGAGGGGGGAGCATAAGAAAATTTGAAAATTTGGAGACATAAGAAAAAGATCTTAATTGTGTGAAGTTGAATGTCTTAAAGTGCTTAGAAAAATAGTCACTATTTTACCAAATATTTCCAACTTGTCCCTTAACCGACATTGCAACTTGAACATATGTGACGAATACTTTTGTTAATAGAGTGTGACACAAAGAGTAAGCTTATGATATATCTTACATGTATCATGAGAATTTCTTAATGAGAGTGAGTAAAATTGTTTTTCTTATATGCCCCCGAATTTGTGATATGTTGTGAATTAGTGAGGAAAAGTGAGGGCACATGAATGGTGAAAGTTTGGTGAACTATTTCATTTCTCTAAATAATGATGTGAATTTTTTTGCCCTATGTATTATGTTGGTGAGTTGGTTCTAGAGGCTATATCGTCTTGTTAGAATTGCCTTTGTATTGTGTTGCTAAAAGCTCTTACTAGTTGAGACTTTCTTGAGGTTTAAAATGTTTTGGTGATCCAGAAAAAGGTAGACTTGTCTGATTGGTAGTTGTTTAAGTAAAATATTTAGTGTTTAGTAGTTGTTCATTATCGAACAAATATTAAAGTGTGGGGTGGTGAGATTGGACATATTTACATATTTTTTAATCATGATTTGTCCATGTTTATATCGTTACAACATGTTAAATACTCTTGATTATCACTCACGGTAGTGTTTTGGAGCTAATACAATGTTGTAGCGACCTGAAAATCAAGCTCGTTAAAGTTTGTTCTAGTAGAGAAAAAGTTTCACAGGCCTTGTGGAGCCAAATCCAAAGCGAGGCTCCATCCCTCGCAGAGTGTGGCTAAAAAGACAAGGCCCAAAATCCTGTTTTGCCACCCCTTTTTAATTATTTCCCTCTCCTATTACTCTATTCTTAGTCGTTTTTTAGTTGGGTTGGGGGGGGGGGGGGGTCGACATATTGGAGCAAAGTAGAGATGACTTATCTTCTTCTTCTTGGATTACTTTTTTTCTCTTAATTCTTGCTTGAAACACATATCTTTGCAAGTGAAATCATATATATAATAAGCGGTTTAACACCCTTATTATAGGTTATGGCCAAAGTATGAATGTTATATCTTAATCTAAAGTTGTTCATATTTTTCTACCATATGACTTGTTATTTTAATTTTGCTATTTCTATTGCTTATTATCTACCAATAGGATAAATGGATTGTCATAATGGAACTGGATATGAAGAAAGTTAGGGATATAAGGTTGGTTAAAAGAAGTAGTATAACATCTCGCAATTTGAATTAACTAGAAGAAGCTTAAAATTGGAAACAGTCATTTTTGGAAAGAATTAAAATCTGGAAAATAAAGTTTTGGTCAACTTGAAACGACCATAATTCCTAGCTCAGGATGATTTAGGTGTACTTCCAGATATGGTTGCAAAGCTCTTGGAAGGATCTTTCCAACGCCACCGAGTTTGCACAAATCCGAGTTCGTATGACTGAATTATTTCCTTTGGAAGTTGGGCTGTTAGAATAAGGAAAGTCCAATCCGGATTTTTAAAGGGTAGTTTGGTCTTTTCCTTACCTTTTTATTTTAATTCATTTTTTGTAATTAATTAGGGGCCTAAGTTGAATTAGATCAGTTTACGCTTTTGGAAGAAGGGTTAGGGTTTTGAGAGAAGAGAAAAGAAGAGGAGAAAGAAGAAGAATCGCCAAGATCGTCGAAGTTTAACTTGTGGAATTCGCCGGGGGTGATCCCTACAAGGTATGTGAGTCTCTCATAGCGTTGGGTTCATTCACCCATGCGGCAATGTTTAGTTCAGTGAAATTCGTCCTAAAAGAGTTTGAAAGTTGATGTTCTTGATATGAACTCTTGAATTTGAATGTTGTTCTTGAATTGGGATGAATTGAGAAGTTTCTGAGTTCATTACGTCGCATTATAGAGTCGTTTCTAGTTAGGTTCTTAAGTACTTTTGCTGGGTATCTGTATCTAAAATTAATTTGAGAAAAAGAACCGAGTTTGGGTGAATTGGGGCTAGAAAACGAAGAAGAATTTTGTCGGACGAAATCAAAGAGTGGCCGCGCGTCGCACGCCTAGTGCCTAGATTTGAAGTTTCAGCTTCGCGTCGCGAAGCTGACACAAGGTGTTTTGCCTCAAAAGACGTTTTCGGAACCAAAATTTAATTATGCCTTCACGTCGCGGACCCAACTTTAAATGTTAATTTTCGGTCTTTTCTCATGTTTAGCTATCTAAAATCATTCCTAAACAACATAAGATCTTTCCAAACACTAATCATAATCCTAGAATCCATAATTCAATTCAAGGATCAGTTAAGAGTCAAGTCAAGAGCAGTTAAGATCAAAGTCAAGAGAAGTCAAGAGTCAGTAAGAGAAGTTCATTTCAAGTTTTCATAAGTCTTTTACAAACATTTTAACTTTGTTTTAAGATTTATGTTTTGAGTTCAATAAAGAGTAAAGTTGAAGTTCATTTCTTCAAAAGTATATGGGGACTGTGTATTTCAAAGAGTTTAAAATATTTTCACATTTAAACAAGAAAGGAAACCTCGATTTCCAAAGAGCCTTCGGGCTAGTTTTCAGAAAAGAGTAAATGCTTTCATAATTAAGCAAGAGGGGAAACTTTGATTTCCAAGATAGCCTTTGAGCTATGTTTTTGAGCACTAATCTCAAATCACAGAAGAAGTATGTTTTTAAACATAAAGAACTAAGTATATTTTTTAGAGTAGTATTGAGCACCGATATGGGGATGCGAGTTCATATTAACTCAAGTATCCATTAACCATGTAGCCATCATGGGTAGAAAAGGGTCATACTTTTTAGATGAATCATTTTCTCATAGACTAGTGGATCCACTTAGTGAGTTAGCTTCCTATATCACGGCAAGGTATAGGATGGGCCTTGGCAGCATGAGGTAAAGTGATGTATCATCACTATAGTTCTTAAGTGATGGTTGTCGGTTAGAGAAACTCCCACATCAGTAGTAGCATGGTTCCTTAAGGGGTTCTGCTTAGTGTGAATGGGGGTATGAGACTTCATTCATGCATTGTACAAGTAGACTTTGAGAGGGAGCATGGTTTGTTTTTTTATGATATTATGATTATGAATTGACAACATGTTTTCAACAGTTTTTCTTTATATTGCATTTGTTTTAAACTGCTTTATAATGAAATGAGTTTATTTAAGTATTCAGGAGTTGAGAAGAGCCAAGGTAAGTGTTTCTTTCATAATCTCTTTCGAGCCTATGTTGTTTAGCTTTCCAACTGGCATACTCGTACATTCAATGTACTGATGCCAGTTGGCCTGCATCGTCTTATGATGCAGATGCAGGTAACCAGGATTAGCATCCGGCGCATTCATTGATCCAGTGAGCAGTTCAGAGTCTGTTGGTGAGCCTCTTTGCATTCCAGAGGACTTATTTACATTGCTTTCAGTTTTAGTATTAGTTCATTAGGATGTCGTAGGCCTGTCCCGACATCCATCTTAGTTGTTTAGAGGCTTGATAGATAGTCAGACAGTCAGTTAGTTAATTCAGTTGTCTTTACTTTTCATTTCATATGTTAAAGACTTGAGTTTGCCTTAATGGCCAATTGAATGTTCTGTTATGACATTCTAGTTCCTTCATAAATGTTTATGTGATGAGTTAAGTCTTCTACTAAGTTAGTAAGCCAGGACAAGGGTTCGCTTAGGACCAACAATGGTTTTCGAGTGCCGGCCACGCCCAGGGTGTAGGCTCGGGGCATGACAAACTTGGTATCAGGGCCCAGATTTCAAGAGTCCTAGGGAGTCTTTGAAGTTATGTCTGTAGAGTCTTAGTTATCAGTGTGAAGCGCGCCACATCTATAATTAGGAGGCTGCAACATTTAGGAAATTTTTCACTTCCTTGATATCCATTTCGTGCGTTAGAGTTTATCTCTAAAAGTTTTCCTCTAATTCGTGCTTGCACGTGTTTCAGATAATCATGCCTCCATGAAGAGCTGTTAGAGGACGTCCTGCTAGGCGTAATGTTGAAGAGCAAGAGTTA